TTGTTCTGTCTACTTCCATCATTGTTTTGATGACCCCCTTACTCAGCGCCCCGAGTGCACATGCCTCGACGCGAGAAGAAAAACAAGGTTAAATGCGTTTATTTGGTACGAGTAACAACACGCCTCATCGGACATTGTCTTTTCCAATGTCCCAGTTTTCCTCAAAGAAAGCAACATCCTTATTGGCTCCTCCTAGAGCTGAACGCGAAACCCATTGACGTCTTCCTCAAGCTGTTCCATCATACGTTCCAATTTATCCATCCGTTCCACGCCCTCATGTGGTTTTTTCAGCGCAGCGAGTGGTGCGTCGCCCAGCTCTCGAGTAACCTGTGCCAACTCCTCCAGCCGCATACGCCGAGTAGCATTCGCAATCCGGACGCGCTCCGCGGTTGGCTGTTGGAGACCGGTCATGAACTGATTCACCAGTAACTGCTATTTTGACGGCTCGCCCATTCCCTGCAAGGCTCGGTCTAACAAGCTTGTGATGTATACTTCAAATGCGAAGGCATCTGCCCCTAGGCCAAGCCGCGCCGCTCTGAACCGCTGCATCGTCTCCTTGCGGACGGCCGGTGTGTATCAATCTAGACCAACCCATTCTCCGCGGCAGCCCACCCCAACTTGATGGGGCCTCTTCCTGCCGCCTTCAGAACTGCCTTCACCCTGCCCTTGTGGAATCTCCGCAGAGCCACCAGCTTCGCTCGGTCAATCTTGACTCCAACCGCCTCCGCCACATTCTCGAAGTCCCCCTAGAAGGTCCTCACATTTCTCCGACCAATCAGCTCCGACCAGGGGATCTTCATGACACCCTGGTCGTTCACGGCACCAATGTAAGAACCCAAAGTGCATGCGGGATTGCTTGCTGTGCAACAGCTAATGCTAAGTGCATCAGTTCCGACAAACGAGACATCGGCCCATCTTCGTTCTACCGGTTGGAGATTGCATGTTGCGGGTTTCTTTTTGTGTCTAGTAGTTGTGTGGTGTGCATTGCTTATGCGCCCATTCCTCGTGCGCACACAACTGCAGTTCCAGAGTGTTCATTTCCTTTGGTGGAGTCAGTACAACCTGCTGTTGGCTGGTTGCTGTTTCGCTTCCTTGCACCCTCCTACTGATAACGGGCGCAGTAATGTCTGCGTTTACTTCACCACATTGTGTTAGTTTGCGAATGGTCTTGTGTCTGATGTCTTCTTTTCATCCGGGGTTTGGGATATGGACTGTTGCCGGATTTGTGTTACCTTTCTGATTCTTTGCCGTGATTTCGTTGTGAGTGTTCAGTTTCCATGCCTTTTCGTTCAGATTTGTAATGCCCTACTCCGGCATTGGCATCCACCCACCCCCATTGCTGACTCTTGAAGCTACAGTTTGAACTAGTGGTGATGGCACCATTGTTGGAAGAGTGCTTTCTCCTCTTATGGTTAAAGCCCAAAGAGCGTTCGTCATACTGAGTCATGTGTGGCGTCATTGTTGTTTCACTCTCGGTAAGGAGCAGGGTCTACAATGCCTGTTTGCGCGGTGCACTTGTAGGATGTGAGTCCTGGGCGATTCGTGTGAATGATATGCTGCGAATTTCGGCCTTTGTCAACTTGTTTGCAGAAGACAGCTCATGTGTGATGGGAAGGCCACGATTGCGACGACAAGTTATACTTCACGTCATAGGTAATACAGACATTCCTTTCGACAGGCCGCGCCAATTGAGATGCTTGAGCAACCTCCTGCGAATGCCGTGCCGAACGACTGCCACATTGAACTTCTTTCGCTCCCATATTGGTGCAGTGGTACAAATCGCCCGGTGTTTATTCTACCACACGGTAGCAAACGTCAAAGCGCTGACTCGCTTTTTAGCTATCATCTGTCCCGTACGTCTTCCGGGCTAAGAATCTAAGCTTATAGAACACTTGGTTGGAAAATCTTGGGGACGTAGCGTGGAATCGGGTTCAATGGAAGAGAGGTATCGATTTATGCTGGTCGACATCGCAATCACTATTCTGACCAAAAAAGTGAAATAACCTTTGCAGTTCACGAAGAAGTTCCATTTTATATGGTCCAAACTTTGCGAATCATGTATTTTTTGCGTACATTCTTCCCACAGCTGTTTGATGGCTTTTGCCTATATTAGAAACTGTTGATTCCATACCTAAATACATATGGCCGATGGTATCCGTATCCGTATTTGCCTGTCACACATTGCGAGCAACCACAGAGCGCCTGCAGCTACTGAGGAACTAGGACTGGCTTACGCTGCACCACCCACAGCTCCAACCACACCACCAGGTAGGCGCCTTGTCAACATGCACATCAAGCGTAGCCACACCGGGGATGTCAAACAACAGCCAATCACCTGAAATAACATTAGCAAATAAAATTACAGCTGTTAAAGAATACGGCTATGCAGATATAACTCTTCCCTAAATTAGCACATAAAGTAAGTTGGTTAGCAACGAATCCGCGATAAGTACAAAATGTCCAGAAGTGACTCAAAAATGCTACAAACGCAATAAAGTTAACGAAGATAACCATAATTACCGTAAGCAACGTGGCCAGTTGATAGAAGATTATTCAGATAGGCAGAACAAACCAAATAAAGTGAAATGAAATGTATCCAGCTTAAAAAGACCTAGTGTAAGTTGGTTTAGTCCAACTACGGTGAAGAGGCATCATGAATGCAACATCAGCTTCAGCATGGGGCACACATACGTACATGGTTGCCGGCATCCGGTTTCGGATTTGCCTGTCACTGTGGCCAGCCACAGGACGCCTGCGCCTACAGAGGGACCATGGGTGGCTTGCGCTACACCACCTACAGCTCCAACCACACACCCCATATCCATATCCAGTGTAAATCCGAAGTAACAAGACATAAGCACGCTGTATTTGGGAATCAAGTGCACACAAGGCGGTGGCTGGACTGTAGTCCGCTCCACACTGAGTGCATAGAACCACTCTTTGATCCTAGCACGGCCACAAGGACCGTGCACCCCGTCACCTCCAGCAACGACCAACTGTCTCCTAGAGCCAGTATGGACGAGGTAGTGGGTGATAGACTGGTAGGCACCTTGTCAACATGCACATCAAGCGCAGCCACACTGGGGATATCAAGCAACAGCCAATCACTTGAGAGGAAGATAAAGAAAATAATTTGCGTAATGCATAAGGAAACGGTGACATAAATCTTAAATTAATGAGCATATGAAATAAGTTGTTTACTGCGGATAGCGGCCTCCGGTCGGTTATTTTTGGCTGTGTTGACAAGATCACTTCGTGTTGTCTTTCTGCGTTCATTGGAAGTATTTTCTGGAAATTCAAATACAAATCAGTTTCATTTCCTATTCTGAAATTTTCGCCCAGAAATACTTGTGTTTTCATTGCTTGGTTTCGACGATCTAGCTATCGCCATTTTCTCCGTCAATTGGCCGCCATCTTGTTTTCCGATTATTCACAATGCCGAAGCAGTCATCCTGTGGTACTTGCTCCAAGCTAATCGGATACCGTGTAAATACCCTCACGTGTGTTTTGTGCCAAGTTAAATACCACATTTCATGTGTTAGATTATCAGTTGAGCATTTTCATCATCTTCGCGAGATCCAACACGATTTCGTCCAAACTATATGTGGAAATTGCCGAAATAAAATACAGTCAGAAAGAGTAAAGCCGACGTGTAGGCCTTGGCATTTCGTTGAGAACAGCTCCGTGTGTTTAGCCCAACAACCTAGCCCGAAGAGCCTTCAGGTTTCAGCTCAGTCGTCCTCCTCTACCCGTGCAAACTCACCGACACGAAGTCCAACCGTTGTGAGAAGCCCAGTTGCACCTGGCATAAATTGTTTACCTTTGTTGTGTCCAACGAACACTGATGTCCCAGCAGGTGAACGTCTGAGTGCTGAAGACCAGTGGAAAGAACAAAGAACGAAATTACGAAGGGACGTTGGGCTTTTAAGTTCTGTGAGACAACAGTTAGCCAAACCCACGTGAGACTGGTTGTATACTTCGCCCTGCAAGGTCCGCCTCGTCCGACCAGAGGCGTTATAATCTCGTGATCTTTCACGCACCGGAGTCCAGTGATCTATCACCCCAAGTGCGCTACGATCACGATGTCGAGTTTTTGCAGGATCTAATTGACAGACTCCTCGACGCTAGTGAGGACTCGGTAAAAGTGAGGCATATTACCCGTCTTGGAAAGCAAGGTGATCAACGAAATCGGCCTATGAGAATCACTTTTGTGGACGAAGCCAGTCCAAGGCTGATCATGTCTCGCCTAAGTAGGCTGAAAGGTTTGAAGATCCATGTTCGTCCAGACCTGGACCCAGTAGACAGGGAGCGGCTCAAGTCTGCCATCATTGAGTTGAAAAGACGCACTGGTGAGGGGGAAACAAATCTCCGTATCGTAAATTTTCGGGTGGTTTCCAACAATCTGCGAATCAGGATAAACAGGCTGCTCACACTTCAAGCACGCCGGGCGGCTCCTGCTTTGGCCTGCGAGTAGCCTTCACAAACGTTTGCAGTGTTATGAATAGGCGCGATGAGCTTTGTTGTTTCGTTGCGTCTGAGCGGCCAGACGTAGTGGGACTCGCAGAGACATGGCTACATTGGAGCGTTAATAATATATTACAAAACCCAAATATCAAAAATAATAAATATATAAAAATAAGATTATATAACATATAAAACAAAATAAATTTAACATGAAATAACAAAAATGTATTTGTTATTTATACATTTATTAAATCTTAAATGAATTTTTTTCATTAATTAATAACTTTTTATTGTTTTTTATGTTGTTTTTGGGGGGGGGGGGGGGGGGGGGGGGGGGGGGGGGGGGGGGGGGGGGGGGGTGGGGGGTGGGCGAGGGGGGTAGGAGTGGGGGGGGAGGGGGGTATGTGGGGTTGGGGGGGGGGGGGGTGGGGGGGGGGGGGGGGGGGGGGTGGAGGGGGGGGGAGGGGGTATTTTGTAGATGACATATTAATAATACACTGTATACAACAAATACAAATAATACACCATATAAAAAACTATAAATATAACAACGATAAATACCAGACAATACCGATAACCAACCAACCCACCCCCCCCCCCCCCCCCCACCCCCCCACCCCCCCCCCCCCCCCCCCCCCCCCCCCCCCCCCCCCCCCCCCCCCCCCCCCCCCCCCCCCCCCCCCCCCCCCCCCCCCACCCCCCCCCCCCCCCCCCCCCCCCCCCCCCCCCCCCCCCCCCCCCCCCCCCCACCCCCCCCCCCCCCCCCCCCCCCCCCCCCCCCCCCCCCCCCCCCCCCCCCCCCCCCCCCCCCCCCCCCCCCCCCCCCCCCCCCCCCCACCCCCCCCCCCCCCCCCCCCCCCCCCCCCCCCCCCCCCCCCCCCCCCCCCCCCCCCCCCCCCCCCCCCCCCCCCCCCCCCCCCCCCCCCCCCCCCCCCCCCCCCCCCCCCCCCCCCCCCCCCCCCCCCCCCCCCCCCCCCCCACCCCCACCCCCCCCCCCCCCCCCCCCCCCCCCCCCCCCCCCCCCCCCCCCCCCCCCCCCCCCCCCCCCCCCCCCCCCCCCCCCCCCCCCCCCCCCCCCCCACCCCCCCCCCCCCCCCCCCCGCCCCCCCCCCCCCCCCCCCCCCCCCCCCCCCCCCCCCCCCCCCCCCCCCCCCCCCCCCCCCCCCCCCCCCCCCCCCCCCCCCCCCGCCCCACCCCCCCCCCCCCCCCCCCCCCCCCCCCCCCCCCCCCCCCCCCCCCCCCCCCCCCCCCCCCCCCCCCCCCCCCCCCCCCCCCCCCCCCCCCCCCCCCCCCCCCCCCCCCCCCCCCCCCCCCCCCCCCCGCCCCCCCCCCCCCCCCCCCCCCCACACCCCCCCCCCCCCCCCCCCCCCCCCCCCCCCCCCCCCCCCCCCCCCCCCCCCCCCCCCCCCCCCCCCCCCCCCCCCCCCCCCCCCCCCCCCCCCCCCCCCCCCCCCCCCCCCCCCCCCCCCCCCCCCCCCCCCCCCCCCCCCCCCCCCCCCCCCCCCCCCCCCCCCCCCCCCCCCCCCCCCCCCCCCCCACCCCCCCCCCCCCCCCCCCCCCCCCCCCCCCCCCCCCCCCCCCCCCCCCCCCCCCCCCCCCCCCCCCCCCCCCCCCCCCCCCCCCCCCACCCCCCCCCCCCCCCCCCCCCCCCCCCCCCCCCCCCCCCCCCCCCCCCCCCCCCCCCCCCCCCCCCCCCCCCCCCCACCCCCCCCCCCCCCCCCCCCCCCCCCCCCCCCCCCCCCCCCCCCCCCCCCCCCCCCCCCCCCCCCCCCCCCCCCCCCCCCCCCCCCCCCCCCCCCCCCCCCCCCCCCCCCCCCCCCCCCCCCCCCCCCCCCCCCCCCCCCCCCCCCCCCCCCCCCCCCCCCCCCCCCCCCCCCCCCCCCCCCCCCCCCCCCCCCCCCCCCCCCCCCCCCCCCCCCCCCCCCCCCCCCCCCCCCCCCCCCCCCCCCCCCCCCCCCCCCCCCCCCCCCCCCCCCCCCCCCCCCCCCCCCCCCCCCCCCCCCCCCCCCCCCCCCCCCCCCCCCCCCCCCCCCCCCCCCCCCACCCCCCCCCCCCCCCCCCCCCCCCCCCCCCCCCCCCCCCCCCCCCCCCCCCCCCCCCCCCCCCCCCACCCCCCCCCCCCCCCCCCCCCCCCCACCCCCCCCCCCCCCCCCCCCCCCCCCCCCCCCCCCCCCCCCCCCCCCCCCCCCCCCCCCCCCCCCCCCCCCCCCCCCCCCCCCCCCCCCCCCCCCCCCCCCCCCCCCCCCACCAACGCCAAAGAACTTGCACCCGCACCGAGTATCCACGGGGCTTCGCGATGCGATAGACTAAAGAATGCCCGACGGTGGTGTCTTACTTTACATCCGGTCTTCCCTGCGTGGGAGACTTGTGAGCACCTACCGAAGTGACGATGGTTTGTGTGAGCTACTGTGGTGCTCCATCCGCCTCAGGCGCGGAGAACTGCTTGTGGGCGCAGTTTATCGCAGCCCCCTGAGTCGTTGTTTGGATTGGCTGCCCATTCTTCGAACCCACATGAGTCGTCCACACTTTCTACTTATGGGCGATTTTAACTGTCCTCGAATACGATGGCCTGATGTGCATTTGATGCCTGGACATAGTGAGGTTGAAGCAAAGTTCGTGGATTTGGTACTTGAAACTGGTGCATCGCAACACATATGCCAGCCAACACGCATAACAACACGTTCAACCCGTCCTGTCTCGACCTGATGTTAACGAGCTACGAACAACGAGTGCGTGACGTTAGGATCCTGGAGCCCTGGCTACAAGCGACCATTCAGTGCTCATAGCTGATATGGAATTATCTTTGCCGTATTCACGTCCGCTGGAACCAGCTCCCAACTACTGGAAAACGGACTTCGATGGTCTAGCTCGAGCCGCGAGCCAACTGGATTGGTCTCTGTCACAAGCTGCATCTGTGGAAGACTGTTGGATATTTATAAAAGAGAGATTGACATCATTGTGTTCCCAATTTGTGCCATTGAAATGTCGGAAGGTTGGACCGATTAAGCCTCATTGGTTTGACAAGGAGTATGGAAACCTGGCTCGGAGGCGGCGCAGACTGTGGGACAAATTCCTCCTCTCTGGCTCTGCCAATGATTACGAAGGGTATAAATGTCAGCGGAACCTCTGCAACAGTGCAAAAAAGAATAAACGCCGACATTTCGAAGAGCAGCTCGCAGTAGCCGCGAAGACCGCCCCAAAGAGAATCTTTGCATACGTGAAGCGACGCCTGAAGCCGGCAGGTGATGTGCCAGTGCTGGATGGCTCGGATGGACAGCCCCGCGCTCCCCCGACCCCACCCACCCCCCCGATGCTCCCAGCTGCTGCATTCCCATCCCCTCCGCCCC